TATCATAATATGTACAGTAAAACTCCAGTTGTTCGGCATCCAGTGGTCCGGCACTCCCGATAGTCTGGCACCAACTGGAACCCGGAAGTGCTCTGGCCAGCCAGACAATTGGAGCTGCTCTGCCCCCGGCTTGCCCAAGTGTGACGCTGGTCAGTTTCAGCAGCTGCAGACTTGGGGAATCCATGGAGCAGAGCACCTCAGGTGCGCAGTCTCCCCTCTTCCCCCCCAGGCCCTTAATAGCCCCCTTCTGGTACTCCAGCATATCCAATAATCCGGCACCCCTTGGGTCCCAAAGGTGCCAGATGATTGGAATTTTACTGTATATGTATTTGGAAAATATTTGTATTCTGTGCTGATGTATATAAATGATGGAATTTAATCAAATATAAATATGTTTGATTAAAAATTTACATCTTTATCAAGGTTTATTTCCCTTTTCCAGAATGCCATGCAGATAGTTGGCTTTATGGAACATGAAACACAGTCCATCTTGGAGATTGTAGCAGCAGTTCTAAAACTGGGAAACATTGAATTCAAACCTGAATCTCGAGTAAATGGTTTAGATGAAAGTAAAATCAAAGATAAAAATGGTAAGATGACAATGGGCTTATGAAAAAAGTAATATTTGATTAGTTAATTGCAAACTCTGTAGCTTGTAAATACAAGATTTATTTTTACTCTTATATCTGGATTAAGGTACATTACTTCCTTTTTTATTCTGAACATCATCTCTAAGGAGATTTAGTTAAAATCTCTCATATTTAGTGGTTCGGTCAAAATTTTACTTACAAAAATGTTTTTTTCATTAGCTTTTTTTTTTAAATTAGGGTTTTAGTCTTTCCATTTTATGAAAGCTTTCTTCTAAAATATTAAATGGAAGCAATTGCTTTATGAACTGATGTACTATGTTGTACCACAGTAATTATGCAGTTTAATATTTTTTGGTTTTGTACTGCCAAGGTGTAATTTAAGTCACTTGAAAGGACTTCATTTGTTGTCTTTGGTACAGTTTGAAAATGTGGTGTTTTTGTTTTGTGTGTTTGAAAGTTCTGTTTCAGGAAAAAAGTTTCCACAGAAGATGGGAAAAGAATGACGACTTATTGCAATAGAACGAAATGGAAAATGCTTTCACATTTCAAAAGGATTTTTATGGAATATTTTTTCTATTATTGTTTTCAGCCAACTTTAGAAGGGGTAGAGTGGTAAAACCCAAGGTATAACTATGGGTGGATCTGGGTGGGCTTTGGCCCTCTCAATATCCAGGCCCACCAGCCCCCAGCCTGACTCTGCTCCTGCCAGGGAACAGAGGCTAGCCCCTCTCAAGGGCGTTGGGCTCTTGTTCTGCTCCGCTTGCATGACACTGCTGTCAGGAAGGGGAGTCAGAGACATTCAGGGCAAGCCTCGGCTCCCAGTCTTGCTCTGCAGCTGGAGCACAGGGCAGGCAAAGCAGCACACTGGGAAAAGCAGGACAAGCCCCCTCAGGAGGAATGGGGTAAGCCCTGAACACCTGGCAGAGGAGGCAGAGTGAGGGGGGAGGTGCACATTTTTGTGGGGGGGTCCCCATTTTTACAGCCCCCCCCCGGCCACCGCATCTATTTCTCCCCCCAATCCCAGAGGCTGGCAGGGGCGGGGAGTTGGCCCCATCGCTCATACTCCACCCTCATTGCAATCCGCCCATCTGACCCATCCACTTGTTACCTATGCCACTGGGTAACAATCAACCAAAACTTTCCACTTCTTCAAAGTTAAAGATAATAATTAGCTTTTTGTTTGATATAGTGTTTTCTAAGTTTAGCCAGTACAAATTACAGTGATATGAAAGTGAATTATAGTTACACTCTCTTGTTTTTTGCTGTCATAGAGCTTAAAGAAATTTGTGAGTTGACGGGGATCGATCAGTCAGTGTTGGAAAGAGCCTTTAGCTTCCGAACAGTTGAAGCCAAACAAGAAAAGGTCTCTACAACCCTAAATGTGGCTCAGGTAAAGGCAGGTTCTTACTGATTTTTCTGTAAGATATATATAAAAGCAGTTTTCTTTTTCAGAAGGATTGTGGCACTCTCTTTTTTTGGAGGGGGGGGCACATATAAGAAGGGCCTGAAAGTGTTGTTTTATTCTGATTTTACATCAGATATATCATAAATGTAATTTCTGGATTGCTTCTTTTGGATCTGAGGATGTACATAAGAACAGCCATCCTGGGTCAGACCAAAGGTCCATCTAGCCCAGTATCCTGTCTTTCAACAGTGGGTAAAGCCAGAAGCCACAGAGGGAGTGTCAGACCAAGTAATCATCATGTGATCTCTCTCCTGTCATCCATTTCCAGCCTCTGTCAAACAGAGGCTAGGGACACCATTCCTACACATCCTGGCTAATAGCCATTGATGGACCTAACCTCCATGAATTTATCTAGTTCTTTTTGAACCCTATTAAAGTCCTGGTCTTCACAACATCCTCTGGCAAGGAGTTCCACAGGTTGACTGTGTGCTGCATGAAGAAAAATTTCCTTTCGTTTGTTTTAAACCTGCTACCTTTAATTTCATTTGGTGACTAGTTCTTTTGTTATGGGAACACGTAAATAATTTTTCATTATTCACTTTTTCCACATCAGTCATGATTTTATAGACCTCTATCATATCCCTCCTCAGTCTCCTCTTTTCTAAGCTTGAAAAGTCCCAGTCTTTTTAATCTCTTCATGTGGGACCCATTCCAAACCCCTAATCATTTTTGCTGCCCTTTTCTGAATTCTTTCCAATGCCAATATATCTTTTTTGAGATGAGGTGACCACATCTGTACATAGAATTCAAGGTGTGGACATACCTAGGTTTTATATAGAGGTAATAAGATGTTCTCTGTCTTATTCTCTATCATTTTTTTAATGATTCCTAACATTGTTTGCTTTTTTGACTGCTGCTGCATATTGAGTGGATGTTTTCAGAGAACTAAACACAATGACTCTAAAATCTCTCTTGAGTAGTTATAGCTAAATTATTCCCCTTGTATTGTATGTATGGTTGGGATTATTTTTTCCAATGTACATTACTTTACATTTATTTCATTTGTCATTTTGTTGCCCAATCACTCAGTTTGGTGAAATCTTTTTGAAGCTCTTCACAGTTTGCTTTGGTCTTAACTATCTTGAGCAGTTTAATATTATCTGCAAATTTCGCCACCTCACTGTTTATCCCTTTCTCCAGATCATTTATAAAAAGGTTGAAAAGGATCAGTCCCATTATGGACTCTTGGGTGACACCATTAGTTACCTCTCTGTATTCTGAAAACTTGCCATTTATTCCTACCCTTTGTTTCCTGTCTTTTAACCAATTATCAGTCCATGAAAGGATCTTTCCCTCTTACCCCATGACAATTTATTTTACTTAAGATCATTTGGTGAAGGACCTTGTTAAAGGATTTGTGGACATCTAATTACACTATATCCACTTGATCCCCTTTGTCCACATGTTTGTTGACCCCCTCAAAGAACTCTGATTTAGTAAGGTATGATTTCCCTCTAAAGAAACCATGTTGACTTTTTCCCCCAACAAACTATGTTCATCTACATGTCTGACAATTTTATTCTTTACTATAGTTTCAACTAATTTGCTTGGTACTGATGTTAGACATATCGGTCTGTAATTGCCAGGATCACCTCCCAAGCCCTTTTAAAATATTGACGTCACATTTTCTGTCTTCCATTTATTAGGTACAGAAGGTGATTTAAAGGATAGGTTACAAACCACAGTTGATAGTTCCACAATTTCACATTTGAGTGCTTTCTAGGGATGTTAAATTTCAGTTAGTTGATAGGACGCCTCTGCCTTTGAAGTGTAGCAACATTACTAGAGCTGTTGCTACACTTGGGCTGTTGGTACACTTCAAAGGTGAAAGCACTGTGGGGAAGATGGGGCCAGCGGGGCCATAGTCCCCATGGTGTTTCGAAGCGGCAGTGCTCTGTGGAGCCTGGGATCAGCTGGGAACTCCCCCGCTGATGTCAGGCTGCATACAGCATTTCAAAGCAGCTACACCACAGGGAGTCTGGGATCAGCTGGGGGCTTCTCCGCTGACTCCGGGCTCCGTGCAGTGCTGCCACTTTGAAACACTGCAGGAGCCTGGTATCAGGCTGCACGTAGCATTTCAGAGTGTCAGCCCCCCCCCATAGAGCCTGGGATCAGCTGGGGACTCCCCATCTGACCCTGGGCTCCACACGGTGTTGCCGCTTTGAAACGCTGAGTGCAGTTTGGAGACACCCCAGCTGGCTCTGGGCTGCACGTGGTGTTTCAAAGCAGCAGCACTGTGTGGAACCCGGGGTCTGGCCCCAAGCTCAACGTGGCGCTGCTGTTTTGAAGTGCCCCTTCCTCTCTGCCCCACCCCACTGCCTCTTTGTCATAGAGGCAGCAAGTGGGGGGAAGTGACTAGTCTACTAGCCTGTCGACTATCCGATAAGCATTTGCTTACCGGATCGTTGACTAGTCGTTCACATCCCTAGTTCTTTCAGAACTCTTAGGTGAATGCCGTCTGGTCCCAGTGACTTGTTACTGTTAAGTTTATCAGTTTGTTCCAAAACCTCCTCTAATGACACCGCAATCTGAGACAATTCCTCAGATTTGTCACCTAAAAAGAATGGCTCAGTTTTGAGAATCTCCCTAACATCTTCAGTAGTGAAGTCCAAAGCAAAGAATTCATTTATTTTCTCCGCAATGACTTTATCGTCTTTGAGTGTTCCTTTAGCATCTCGATCATCCAGAGGCCCCACTGGTTTTTTAGCAGGCTTCCTGCTTCTGATGTACTTAAAAAACATTTTGCTATTATTTTGTGAGTTTTTGGCTAGCTGCTTTTCAAACTCCCTTTTGGTTTTTCTTATATTTTTACACTTAATTTGTGAGAATTTATACCCCTTTCTATTTTCCTCACTAGGATTTCACTTCCTTCCACTTTTTAAAATGCTTTTTTATATATGTATGTAAATTGTTGTCTCTTGAAAATAATGTATAATATCTCTTACTTTCTCCACAATGTTGTTCGGTCATTGAAGTTGAATGGTGCTATTAAAACAAACAAATTAATGATTTTAGACAGTCTGATAAAAATTGCTTCCCCTCTCAACTTTTTAGCTTTAATTCTCTTGGCTCTTGTAACTTTACTAGATCATTAATTCTTGACCTAGGTTTCTCTGTCACTTAGTTGCTTTTGAAATTTTACTCTTAACCAGAAAACAAATTATTTTATGTTACATACTATAAGCAAAATTCTTTAAGGTGAAATTATTTTAAATGCATGCTTTCTGCATAGCTACAAAATAAGGTACTATTCATAAAGCACATCTAAATGAAACATTTCACAGCAAAATTTACCCCTGTTCTCCTTTTCTTTCCTTCAACACACTTTTTGAATGTTCAAACACACTTCATTTTGCTTTTAGATGAGTCATACCCTCAAGAAAAGGGTATAGGAAATTTTTCCTACATCTTGTGCAAAAATGTGGTAAACTTAAAATATCCTGCTGTGGCAGACCATCCTTCATTTTGAACAGCCCATTTGGTTTCATAGGATTGATGTGCTCTGGGCTGTTCTAACATTTTTTCAGATAAAATGAATAAATTCAACTTTCCTTATTGTTACTTTTTCCTGAATTTCCACAACCCTCTTCTTTCCTTCTCCTTCTAATGATATTAGTGGCAAGCCAGCCTGGAGGTTTGTATGTGAAGAATATAAGCTATTTTTAGGAAGAGGAAAGACTGTCTGTTTGAATGTGCCACTCCTCATTCTTTGTTTATTTTAATCCAAGGTTCTTGCTTTTTCACCATAACCTTCAGTCCTTCCCCTCCCACAAATCTTAAGTGTTTTGTAAAATCACTTATACTTTTTCAGTTACTTACCTACTAGCTTATTCCATATGCTTATTGCCTTGTTTTGGAGTAGTTCTATTTACAGCCTCCATTTACTCCTTATTTTACATTATCTACCTTTAGAAGCTCAAACAAGTCTCTGTGGGCGTGGACATGGAAGGCTGGGAGGGTGATTTTTAAAAGATATAAAGATAACTTTTTGAATCTTATTTCAAAATCTTCTGCAAAGTCAGCTTTCTTCTTCTAGTAGAATACACGGAACTCCCTAACTTGTTTTCAGAACTTAGATTCAGCAGATCTGGTATGGTCTTTGTTGCCTGATGCTTCACCCTTCCGAAGGCTCTAGTATGCTCGTGGTGGTTCTGTCTGTTTTAGCTCTCAGTATTCTAGACAAGGTCTCACTATCATTTTACAGTGACCATCTCATTTCCTTGTAGTTTTTGTCTGCTAATACAATTGTCATTTTCCTGTCTTGTGTTTTATTGCTACTCATCAGGGAGTTAAGGGTTGCAATGTCTTATAAAAAAAAAAAGCCAAACCCTGCTGATTATTGTGCTAGACAGTCTGTTTTTAGCAATATATGTATTTTTCAATTTTGACCTGAGAATTTATCTTAGTCACTTAAGTAATTAAAATTCGGATTTCATCACTCAATTTTCCCCATTTTTTTATGATCAAGGCTGCTTGATGATATGCATTTTTGCTACTCCACTAGAAACTTAACTCATGAAGCCCTGAAAAGTGATCTGAGCAGAGAACACAAGTAGGAACTTGTGAGAAACAGACAGGAGAAGTGAGATGGCAAAATGTTCAATAAACAATAATGCATTAAGGTTTTTTTAATACAAACTGAAGCCTGCTTTTCATTCCTCTCCTATCCTTTTCTGCCTTTGTCCATTGCTCTGCCTTCCTTATTGCCTCCTCTTTCCCTCTGCCATTCCATATTCTATTTATCTCAATTCTTCTTATTGTTTTTTCAGCATATATTAGTGTGAGGGCTGGCACGTTCCCCACTAATAACCAGTAATAACCAGATTCGTGTTTCCTAGGAGCCCAGTGAGAAACCCACTGGGAAGAGATACATATTGTAGAGTTGCTTTATCAAAGTCAGAAATGTGAAGTTTTATTTCACCTGCTGTTTTTCTGGTCTTCTCAGGCATCTCTTACATATGTGACTATTCTATGCAATACCATTAAACACTGGCTCCAGTTCTTTGTTCCTGCAGTGGAGTAAGAGTGGGAGGAGAAAGGGGCATGTAGTGAGTTCTTGGTTCTGTTGGGCCTAAGTAAAGTAGCCCTAAGGCACCTCTAGCTACAAGCTCTCTGGAAATATTTACACTGTAGTGTAAACCCAGGGTCTCAGCTCAGCTCCAGACTAACACTTCCATTTACACACACACCATGAGGACCCTGTGGTCCCAGTATGCCATTCGGCTCAAGACCCCATTTGAGCCTATATCAAGCCAGGCCTCGGATACTACTTAAGCCTTATTCCTTTGCAGTGTAGATATGACCCTACTGTACTTGTGCTCTGGGGCTCTGCTGAAAGAATCCCACAATTCCACAGGCCGATTTTCAGCCTGTCGAGAGGACAAGGAAGCTTTCCCACGTAGCACTACAAAGAACGAGCTAGAGCAGCCACATTTTAGGTGGACACTGGGAACCCTGTAAATATGGTGGTTAGACTAAGGCCCACAAGTGTAGAAGCTAGCGTCCCAGGTTGGGATCCAGGGTTCAACTATTCCTAACCTACACATGAGTGTCGACTCTCAATGCCTAGGTTAACAAGACGAGGGTCTGCTAGGCCTGGGCTTATATTGCAGTGTAGGTATGCCCTACAGGAACATCTGTGCTGTGTTAAAAACCTTGTGGAACCCAGTCTGAGCCTGCAGTCATCTGACTTGGCCTCGTGAGGCTCAGGCTGCAGGTCTACAAACTGCAATGTAGACATCCTGGCAGTGTAGACATGCTGGGCTCTGAGACTCTTCATTATTGTGGGCTCTCAGAGCCTAGGCTTCAGCCTGAGCCTAAATGTCTACACTGCAGTTTCATATCTCAGCATCTTGAGCCAGGTCATTTGACTTCAGCCCACTGTGGTAGTGCTGTGGATCTCTTACTGCAGTAAAGACCTGTCCACGTGGAGCTGTTCCCGCAGCCTTACTCTCACCAGGCAGCGTTCTGACATTGAGCACGTTTCTTAGAAGCATTTCCACCCTTTTATAGCACTTTTAAACCTCTGCAATAGCAGACATGATTCAGAAGTAGCCCAATATTTCTAACGTGTTTTCTCTTTCTTTTGACTAGGCATATTATGCCCGTGATGCGCTGGCTAAGAATCTGTACAGCAGGCTGTTTTCCTGGCTTGTTACCAGAATCAATGAGAGCATTAAGGTAATATTCTTACGTGCCCATAAGGAAATCAATTAAAAAAAAATTAAGTGAAGGGGGACAGAAAAACTATTCTCGTCTGTTTTACTTTCTTCTTATGCACCGGTGCAATTTGCAGGACTGCCAATACTAGAGGTGAATATTTGTATTCAGATAAATCTCTTTACTTGTTTTTGTTAAACTTATGGAAATATTTATATTAACCATTTTTGGAAAACCGAACCCAACTTCTTAGCCTAAACAACTTGCATATCAGGTGCATTTAATGTGTCTTGACGGCAAATACTAAATGTGCAGAACGATAACTCAGTCTTTTTCTTAAAAGGCACAAACAAAAGTCAGAAAGAAGGTAATGGGAGTCCTGGACATCTATGGCTTTGAAATTTTTGAGGTAAGTGCTTTAGAATATGCATTTCCATAAAAAAATCTTTACAGCTATTCCTAAAACTAAATCTAGTTCATATGTGTGTAATCATAATTTCTCTTTCTGTAAATGAAGTCTAGTGCATATTTCTAAGTATACGCGATAAATGTAAACTGGAGTTAGATTGTATTCTTAGTATGCTTTGCATTTATAATACAGCTTCATGAATGCCAAATTGCATATGTTGTGCTGATAGAGAGAGTACCACTTAAAAGTAAATATTTACTGTGATACTATTCTGTACATAGTAAATATTGTGGTATGTCCATGCTGTTATATAAAATTTGCCTCTAGTGAAGGTACTACTCTTTACGGCCTTGAGGTTTATTGTAGATATCTGTGAACAAGATTAGAAATACTGGTTTATGGTGCTTTTGGGTTGGTCAACTGCTGGATAATTCAGCTTTTATGGTATATGCTTCATTTCAGCTATATAAAGAATCAGAGCAGTCTTAACAGTTTTACAGAAATAAGAGAGAAAGAGAGAGAGCTAATATTTGATTCAGATTTTTACTCAACAAGATAGTTAATTCCCTGATCATATGAAGAAACTTATGAAAATGAATGGTATGGGACCGATCTGGAAATAACTCTTGACTAACAGAGCTATTTGGAGATGATGGTAGTTACTTTCCTTTAGAAAGTTACATAATAGGATGTTAGTGTTATTAGCAGAAATGTGCACTTGATTAAGCGTAGGTGAGTTTAAAAAAACTGGCTAAATAAATCTGAGTTTGTGGGGTGGTTGTGGATTGTTAAATTGAATGCCAGGAAACAAGATATTTATTAAAGCAAGTTGATATTTAAAAAATAAAGCCATAAAAATAAGTAGTTAGATATAAGGACAAAATTGGAAGCAAAATGGAGGACTAAATGCTTTCCCCTCTCACATGTATATTGAACTATACTATAATTGAAAGAATGCTCAAAATAGTAAATTTTAAAATGGAGCAAGTTTGTTCATTTAGGCTGTGTCTATAGTGGTGCAGTCTTGCGCCGGAGCTATGCAAAGGAGGCTCAGCATGGAATATCGCCGAGCCTCATTTGCATAACTAATGAGCCGCCATTTTTGCGGAAGAGGCTCTTGCGCAACACGTCGCTGTCTACACTTCCCCTTCTTGCGCACCATTTTTGCGGAAGAGGCTCTTGCGCAACACGTCGCTGTCTATACTTCCCCTTCTTGCGCAAGAAAAACCCTCTTGCGCAAAGCCGTTGTGCAAAGCTGTTATGCCTGAAAATAATCAGCATAACAGCTTTGCACAAGAGGGTTTTTCTTGCGCAAGAAGGGGAAGTGTAGACAGCGACGTGTTGCGCAAGAGCCTCTTCCGCAAAAATGGCGGCTCATTAGTTATGCAAATGAGGCTCAGCGATATTCCACGCTGAGCCTCATTTGCATAGCTCTGGCACAAGATCGCGCCAGTATAGACACAGCCTTAGTGTCCAATTCTATTGAATGCTGAGCAACCTCAACTTCCACTGTAGGAGATGAGAGAAGAACTCTATGCCTCACAGCATTGAACTCATGGGTGAAAATCACCCAGATACACAGGGCAATCAAGGGTCAAGAAACAAGGATGGTTTGATATTGGAACTAGAGGTTATTGGAAATTTTCAGGTAGAAGGTTGTGCCATTGGAAAATGCTGATTAGTTGACAATGTAATGTTGTGGAAGCTAGTCAATTTTGATGACATTTTATTTTAAAATAATCTTTGAAAAAGGGGAAACATTTTTGGTAAGTTCAAGATGTTCTATTTTTCTTATTTCAAAATAATTTTTGGTTTATTTTGTATTTATATAATATACAAATTTTAAAATTCAAAATTGGTACATAATATTTCAGTGTTGTTCAAACAAAATGTTTGTTGACCTAATACTGATTTTTGCACAGAAGTTCATTTTCTGAGATTCTTCAATTTTTTTTTTGTTTCAAAATTGTGTATTTTTCTACCAAAAGACCAATATATTTCCCAACTAGCTCTAACTGGAACAAAATCCTAGCATTGAAATGATTAAAATTGATTAAAACCTGTTTACCAAACATTGTGCAGGTATAGTGGAATTATTGTTATGGTCAGATAACACTGGTCTACAATTTTTTAGAAGTCGTCTGCTTCAGAGATAAAATGTGCTATTTATTATGTATTTTGATGTGCTGAATTCAAATATGACAATTAAAACAACTGATTGGCTACTGTTTCCAAGATATTTAAGTTTTTACATTTTACGTCTATGTATATTGTGTAGATAGTAGAGTTTTAATCATAAATTGTAAACCTAGGTCTTTTCATGTGTTTATGGTTGCTTTACATGATAATATTTCACCTGTCCTGTTTATGTAACTCTTTAAAAATCAGCAAAAGGGTTATATAAATAAAATTTATTATGAAACAAAAGGCAAAAAACTATTATGTACATAGTTTAGTCCTATTCAGTGTCTACTCGGCACTTCTTGGCTTGTCATTGGTATTCATTAAATGGAGCATCTCTTGTTTAGTGGAAGAGACGGTTAAACCTATAGTAACCAAAGTGATATCAGCTGATATGTTCATTTCCTTACACATTCACTTCAAAAAAACTTCAAAGTTCTCCAGTGC